AATCCTACTGTAAACCAACACCCCGAGGTGTCAAGATACCTCTTCTAAGTTTCACAACAGTATCCGGTCATGTGACTTCTTTGTTCAATACTGTGTATATATATATATCCGTGTCAGTGTAAATTACTTGTACCTGATGATGACAAAATCTTGTACATTTGCTGTTGTGTTAAACTTATATTAAAGTTTTTCTTCATTACCCATTCAAGCCGTCTCCAGCCATTATTATTCCTATTCTTTACTGGAGTTTCATTGAAATAATATGTATTACATACAATCCTAATATGTAACATTTATTTATTGAGTATATTTTGTGTAGAAATATAATAACAAATCATAAAATAACTTTTGTTTCATTAATATATAAGTATAGGCTATTAAAAAACAAAATACAGAATCCAATTTTTTTAGCTCATTTCCAAAAAAAGCCTGACTCAGAAGGGGTTAAGAAGAACTATGAACTTAGAAATTTGAATTTTGTGTCACTTAAGATTATTCAAAATCTTAATAATGACAGTTTAAATTGTATGAGAGTTTTTAAGTAATAGACTGGCTAGAAATTGAAATTATATTCATATTATCTAATAAAAAGTTGTACCACTTATCACAACACATTTTTTGCTGTCATCGTAGGTGGGAACAGACTTTGACTTGAAAGAGCAACTGTTTAGAAACTTTGGCCGAATAATTGGGCCTTTTTCTGAGCCAGCAGCTCTTCATAAGTGGGGACCAGGTAAGGAGTTCTCGGCAACATTTGTTTGGGTGGACCCTACAAAAACTGTAGCAGGCTCTTATGAAGTAAGGGTGGAAAGTGGAAATCAGGTTTGTATAATTTATGGAAAAAGTAAAATTGTACAATATATATTTTCATTGAAAAAGTGTAAATTAACAGACAGTATTATATTTATCTTCTAAATGTTTATTTTTGCCAAATCTAAAAGTTGGAAAAGTCCACTGATGATTGTTGTTCTCAGTGTTTGACCAATGTTAGAATCACTAAGCAACAGCATTAATAAAGAAAGTATGACTTTAGGTACCTTATGAATTAGGTACTTTGAAACTTTGCTTAAAAAAAGGAGCTAATTGTTAACATAATCCAGTAATTGAACAAGAGAAGTCATGAATTTAAGATATTACCAACTGAAGTAAAATATAAATGTGTTTTTACAGGGTTTTTTTTCATTAATGAATTCCAGTAATTTATAAACATACAACATCTGTTTTACCAACCTATAAAAGGCAAGGCTAAACAGTTAATTTGTAAAACTGATATTTTATGCTTGTAATGAAATACATTTATTTGGACAACAATTTACATATATAGCAATATTTTTGTAGTATAAGTTTTAAAAACAAAGCTAGGTTATTGTCAACCTGTTTACAATTAAATGTTCAGCAATTATTGAAAAAAGTAAGAAAATAATGAGTATAAGTTTAAAGTACCATGATGTATTAATTACTTGTGAATATATATTTATGGTGTAGTAAAATAAACATGTTTCCTTCTTCCACCTGACTGTTCTCATGAGACAGATATTTTGCTAATCTTTCATCGTAAGATGTGATTTGTTTTAGAGGCTAAGAAAATCCTTTTTCCATCTGCCTGTCCTCATGATGACACATAACTAAGATATTTTGCTAATCTTTCATCATAAGGTGTGATTTGTTTTAGAGGCTGAGAAAATCCTTTTCCATCTGCCTGTCCTCATGACACATAACTAAGATATTTTGCTAATCTTTCATCATAAGGTGTGACTTGTTTTAGAAGTCTGTAAAAATCCTTTT